CAATCGCAGGGGTCAGTGGTTCGAATCCCGTACAGGCCTGAATTTCACTATTGCTTAAATAGTACTTTACTGCGAGGATTGCGCACATATAAGAGTAGACGTTAACTGCTGGAAAAAAGGCCACCAAAACTATTCCTTGTAAGTCATACGAGGGCACCTTCAAATCCACCATGGCGTGAGCTCACGCGAATCTTAAGCAGCAAGATTCACGCTACTTTACGTGAAACGTGAAAGGACAAACTGACGTTTGCCGTTTCACGTAAACGCAGTGCTAAATCTCTCTAACAGCGTGCACCAACGTGGCCTTCTATCAAAGTTAGGCTATGTGCAAATAACACAATGGACACGACAGCAAGGGTTCTTAAATGTTAATACCTGTTGGTTTCCTGGATTGCTTTCACTCCCGTTATATTTGAGAGCTTCCTTTAGTATCTGCAAAGAAAGATGTGGTCATTATGACCCACTCAAATCTACACTACTATCTAAAAAAGTGCAAACGTATCGATCTAACTCGGGGACTAAATGCCAGCTTTTTTGAAGCAGGTAACATCCTGAGATAGGAGCAAGTAATGGGAAAAAAACCGAGTTTCGAAAAAACTGCTAAAGAGCTTAAGAAAGGACGCAGTAAAGAATTTGGAGTTATTAAAGAGAAGGCACTAGTCATAGACTCATTACAGGTCACTGCATATCATGATGACAATGAGTTGGAGGAAGAAACTTCCCTTCTATATCAACAAAATATTTAAATTTCTGTAATTTTTCCGTCTGGTGAAGCTAAGGAAGGCACCCATAATTGCTCGTACCCATTTGTTCTTTGTATGTGGTTTACAGTTCAATTACAAGCACAAACCTGTACAGCTTTGGTTGGATCCACATATTTTCTTTTACTCCCAAGCATTAAGGCAAATAACAATCGCAGCTCAGTCATGAAGGACACACGATAACCATCCTATTAGAAGAAGGAACGCAAGAAATGGACGGCAAGTGAAACAAGGAATATCCCCAAACAAACTTTGCTGATAATATTATCAGATTTACTTTATTAGAAAAAAAAAGGGACATGAAAATAAGCTGGTCTGCCGCAGCCTACAAAACCAATTACTACCGTCTGTTTAGCTTGCGTGCTGGCTCCCGTATGTGGGTTTTACCTTACGGCCCCTTTCCAAGCACAGCTGTCTATCTTATCATAGGCAGCTGCCTATGGAATAAGTTATTGAAACCGGAGTCGTAGTAACAGTTCTTTCCTTCTTTTTTTTTTTAATTAAGCCCGGTTCAGACGCCGATCTTTTCATGAACCGAACCTAATTCCTTGAATTAGGTACATGAAAAGATCGGCGTCTGAATCAATTTGGAACGGCTCACCCGTTCTTCCCGCCTGGCTTGGCCGAGAATTTTGCCTTTGGAACGCCTTTTGAACGGCTTTAATTCAGATGCCGTACTTTTCATGTGCCGATCCTAATGCACAAGTTGTTATAATGTATTTTGTAAGCAGTTTGACTGGTTTTACTGGAACTGTGTTTGGAACGGCCAAAAAGAACGGCGTCTGAATCAACAGGCGTACTTTTGTTAATTTGNCCAAGACAGAATTTCTCCTTACATTAACAATACAATATCAAGCAGACAAGTGATGAGAATAAAGAAAAATACCGAATTCTCTGAACTATTGTCAGGGCTCGACACTAACGGTAGCCTACTAGCCACAGACTAGTAGAAATTCAGTTTTGGCTAGTGGTTTTCAATTTGCACTAAAGCCAGTTTGGCTAGTAAACAGACTGAAATTGTCGTAACATCTAAAAACATCTAAGATGTCACTAGCCACTTGGCTAGAACGTTGAAAAATTAGTGTCGAGCCCTGTATTGTTATAAGAATAATTATTGTATGGCAGACGGTAAAGAGAATTACTGATGATATCTTAGTAGAAAGAGGGTTAATTTAATGGATGACAGATTAAGCCCTGGTCAAACTCCCATCTTTACTTAGAGTAACAGATGATTCACTGTTCCATGCAGAGCAATTCAAAGGTTTGTATTAGTACAAATCTTTTTGTCTGCCTCACATGTAGATTCCTTTAGCATCCCTGTTTACTAACACCAGTCATGGAATATGATTATGTTTACTGGAGTAGTGATTGGGAATGCAATAGACCTACTCTTTCTTTTACTTGAAAATTTAATTCAAGAATTTCAAATTAAACAACTTTTGCAGTTTTTTTGTACAAAAACCTGTCTGATGTTGGCACTTTGAATGAGAGATAAACTGAAAACTGAGCTTGTTACCAGCAGATATATTTTTAATTTATGGGATTTCCTCAAGAAGGAGGGACTTCTCACTTCTCTTAGTCTTCTGTAGCATCTGAAGTCTAATTTTTTTTATATTGGAAGACAACTAGTAAGACCTTATTGAAGTCTTTTAAATCTCAATTGTCACAAGAAGAGTGCATTCCATATTTTACTTTAGAGCTAAAAAAGAAATCGCATGAGTTCTGGAGTACACTGTATACTAAACTCCTCCTTCAGAAGGAAATTTGTCAGAAAGAAAAAATGCACCACCATGATGATACTCCAAGTTGTCAACATGTTTTAGTGGCTGTACAAACCTGTATGACAGCACTAAACCAGCACGTGTTCCCTACATTCTTCAGGCCCACAGGGCATCCATCTAAGCGCTGACGCTCATAGGGATTCACAGGATCCACAAACCTCACCCAAGGGTCACCTCTCTTCCGCTTTAGACCAGACTTATTTTCTGCTAAACTGGCTTCTAAAACCCTTCAAATGTACACAGATACCAAACTGATTTTTATACAGTACCTCAGGATAAAAAACTGGTTTGGAAACCATATCACTGCTCAGTAAATTGTAACAAGACGGCATGGTCATAGGAGAGCAAAACCACCAGTTCATGAGAAAGGGCAATTACAGAATTTGTCAATTGGAGATTTAGCATTTAATAAATAGTCAGACTATTTTTAATAATTTGAGAAATGAAAATCATTGTTAGGAATGATTGTAGGAAAATAAAAAGACCCATAAATGGTAAACTAAGTTAACCCTTTCCCCTCTTAGAGTGATAAACATCTAGATTCTCCCAAAAAATATCACCCCTGAATCAAACACTAAGGTCATGAGAGTAAAGGAAATGATCACAAACTGAAGAAGCTCCTGCAGGGCTTGACACTAACAGTAGCCCACTAGCCACAGACTAGTAGAAATTCAGTTTTGGCTAGTGATTTTTCATTTCCACTGGCCACTGTGGCTAGTAAACAAACTGAAATTGACCAGCTAGTTTCTGCCTTTCTGAAGGAAGACAAATACATTCAAACACTTCTCGGAATTTCATTTTATCATGTCACCATGCACATGCTGTTCAGCACAGTTTGCATGTATGCAAGTTGTAGTCTGTTAATTTTTCACTGTTATTGTGTTGAAAGACTAGACAGCATTTTCTGAAAGCACACATCCATGTTTTAATTTTCTAAGAAATTAGCGAACAAAACATGAGCTTCCTGATAAAATCATGCTCAAATCATGCAGTGCTATATAGGGATAACACATCATCCACTGTGACAACACATGTGTGATTTGTTGTCGTGTGCTTACTGACAAAACTTACCACCACAGAAATACTTAGATGAGAAAGATTAATTTCCTTGGACATTTAAATCAACTGTTTTTAGTTGTGGAATTTCAAGAATTTTGAGAGAGTTGTTTTGCTTGTGAAACATTTCTATGGCACCTGTCTGTGAAGAAATCTTGACAGTTTTTACAATGAAATCTCCAGGTCATGATATTTTTCTGGGGATGTCTCAATGAAAACAGAGTCCTGAAAGTCTTGAAAGAAAAATTGCTGGATTTGTCTTTGTGATCTGTTGGCCTGAGAGATTTGATGTGAGGAAAACACAAAGCCGTTGAACAAAATGAAAATTGGCACAATTCATCAACGCTTGGCTAGTAAAAACCTTTCTTGGGCTAGTAACATCTAAGTTGTCACCAGTCACTAAGTTGAGATCTTAGTGTGGAGTCCTGCCTTGATTGTTCAACAATTTTTCTTGACAGCATCTTTGGAAATGTCTAGAGATCAGTATGGGGAACTTTCATACCGATGTTAAATGTGTACAGTGTTAGACATAAACTTAAAGTTGGAAAAATAAAATACCTGCTTATATCTTGTTCTTCTACAGATATACCCTGAGATCAAAAGAAAATGAACTTAAGAATGTGATTGACTCCAGCAATAATTCTTTTATTTTTTTACTACTCAATTGAAGCATGCTGTGGTTCAATTGCCTTTTTTTAGTTTATCAGATTTCAAACAGGTTTGAATTCTTTTGCCACAGGTCATAATAATGAATGTGTAACAAAGGAAAAATTAGAATCAGACAGTTAAGAAGAGAAGAATATTATTCTCCTCGCACTGCACTGTGTTGCACATCACTGAACATGTTGGTTCCTAAATGTAAATAACTGTATGCATCTTTTCTACTTAAATAGCCCTTTCATTGGTCTCTCAGTATCATATTTAAATCACACCAAAATAAGTAGCAAACTGGCATTTTAAATTGTTTCCAGCTTTTCCCCCTACAAATTTTAAGTTAATAATAAAAAGTTATACCACACCTGTGCGTCTCGTAAACTGAGAGCAATTGCATATTCCAAGTCTTCTGTCTCCTTAGTTAGGTCAATTACATCAGCTACAAAGATTAACAATAATATTAAAAAGAACTATTGATATGATTTTAATTAATCATGTACAGTCCTGTTATTTGATGGGAAAAATCATAACCTGACAAGGGAATTGCGCATTAAATTGCAAAAACTGACATACCACGAATCATGAAGTGATAAGCCCAATGTAAGTTTTCAAGTGCAATTTAACACAGAATTCATAAGTCAGGTAATGGATTCTTCTCGAATCACATAATTGAATGAAAAATACGAAAAAAAGAAACCAGCAATGATATTGTTTGTTTTTATCCTGAGCGTGAAACAAGCGATGCGAAATAATATCACTTAGCCTTGTTTTCAGCTTGCAATTCCACAAATAAGGCACCCATACAAATCTAATGTTATCAATATGCTGCGATAAGATACTGTTTTATCAAAACTAAAAAAACTACAATGAGCACCCTAGGCTGTGCCTATAACTGTAAAACTAACCTTAAATTGACAATGAAAAATGCATTCACTACATAAACCAGTTACTGTTAATAACAAACAAAAATCTTACTTTGTGGTTTGCCTGGAGCATTTTGTGGTCCTATAAAGGTCTGTGTTCCTGTCCCTATTGGAAATTGAATTGAATTCGGTGACAATCGCAAATGGTGTCACTTGATCATCAAGAGCTTCCACCCTACTTCAAAGGTGACATTACTATAGATAAGTTAAGATTAACGTATGAATATCGTAAAAGCCTGCGGATAAGCTGCACTTTTTTTTTTCCAAACATTGCCACTAGAAATTGGGGGTGCGGCTTATCTGCAGGAACATTTGAAAAAGGTGTCGTGAATGTCCATTTTCACGCTCAATCTAATGCCTGGTTACTAAGCTTCAAATGTTTTGCTCACGTTCTTGTTGTAATGCAAAAATCTATGGAAAAACTGTGTTGCATGAAGAAATTCCTGTCAACAAATACCAGAAAAAGTCCAATCATATGTCAAAGTTGGTAGAAACAATGTTCACCATATTAAAGTGCTAAAATTGTGGGTAACACTTTGAAGTGTTTTCCGTTGCCATGTTAATGAGTTTACATTTGATGAACAGTGGATGAAGAAGACTTCTCAAGACTCAACTTTGGATTTCTTTTGATTTCTATAAAAAAACCTTTTTTCCAAAATTTGAGCTGCTAAATTCAGGATGCAGCTTATCTGTGGGTATGGCTCATCCACGGGCTTTTACGGTACTCATTTATTGTCTTTCAATAAGACATTAATTGGTTCCTTGGAAATCATATTTGGCTATTGGATGTTATTGTTACAGTCAATAACTTGGTTTCTTACTAGAAAAAAATTCTTGACATTAGGGGCAGTTTATAAACGTGTTTTCTGTTCCATTTTTTGTTTCTAAAACCTACATTCTAATCAAATCAAGCTTAACTGTTGGAAGCTACTGGAAACTGTGGAATTTCTGGAACTTAGCTGACTTGTAGACTAAAGAATTTGTGCATTTTTCATCAATGGTTTTAGTTTTTGATGTTTATGCTGAATTCATACAATAAGCTAAATTAAATGTACTGTAAGAGATCTTCAAACGACTCACCTGTTTGGTTTGCAACACCCTGTTTGAAACAAAAAGAAAATTGTTTTCTTTTTCTCATTTGTTTATCACACACACTCACTGAGCAAGCTCACAGTAGGAGATAAGCTGGTCTAATACTCCCCTGACATGAGACACATCAAATAACCTTCTTGGTCATTCCAAGTCATCATAACCGATTTAGAAATACATAATCCTTAGAAGAAATGTCTATCTTACAAATTAGCACTTTGCTGCCCTTTGGAATAGGCAAATATAGTTCTCATTAATTTTAATTAAACAATTTAAATAATAGTAATTGAACTGAGTGGAGTGCAAGTTTGGCTTAAAATCATACGTGTGATTTGAAATCACAAGTATGATTTCAGACTAAAAATTACATGACACAAAGTTCAATTACCACTTAAATACACCCATTTTGAAATTACAAAATTCAGTCAGTCAAGTGTAGAATTTTAAAGTCTGTACAAATGTCTAACTTTGTAGATTAGACCTAAGCAGGCTTAAAGAGAGATTTGTTAACAAGATTTGTGCCCAATCTTTCTCAGCTAGTAACTTTTGCCAGGAGCTGGCACTTTACAAGAACTCATGGTTCACAATCCACCAGTAGGTCTACAGGCTACCTAGTCAATTTATTTATACTTAGAAGTATAAAGTACAATCACATCCAAGAAAAAGAAATTATCCAATTACTAAGTTTGTTGCAAAGAAAGTTAGGCTACCAGTTGAAATTTTAAGTAAGGTGGCTCAAAAACAGTGCATTAAGGAAGGTGCTTTGCATGCAATGGGAGGCGAGGCCTGGTAACAACACATCTTTCCCTGCTGTTCACAACACTAAAACTAAGGCTAGTCAGGCAAATATTTAAATCTTTTTAATTAGATGATAGCCCTTGATAATGAAAGATAATACAAGTGTGTGTGCCTGTTGTGCTTTGCTGAGCAATCACAAGTAAAAATCTAGCCGATGATCTCTGCTTTTTCCTACTGAAAAATTTAGCTGGTAGCCAGTGCTCAGCAACAACCCTGCATTACACCAAAAAGGTAAAGATTTAAATGTGAAAGGCACCTTTAGTGAAGCATTATGGTCCGGAGGGTTTGTCAACATTGTTATGGCTCTTTGAAGGTCATTGCCACTGGCCTGAAGATTCAGAAATGAAAAGAAATCAGAATTGTAAAATGAATTCCAGTATAAACTTACATTCAACTCACTGCTAACAGACACTCTCATATGTGGACAGTTCTTCTTACAGACAATATTTTAAATTCCTGTTTTTGCCTCCTGGTCAAACTCTGTATTGACAAATTCCAGTAAGTGGACTCTCTTGCAAGCTGAAGCTGACACTTTTAAATAAAATTTTACTTGAATTTGAAAATCAACAAAAATTTCACCTTTAACATAGCAACAGAACAATGGGGATTGGTTTCATCAAACCTCCATTTGTCTGTGGGAAAGCAAGCTGTCATTCATTTGACATCAACAAGAATCTGACATAACACTCTCCGATAAGCAGACATCCATTCTATTTTTCTTTGGTATCCACTTATGACAATAATTCTCATAGGTGGACAGTTCTACTAATTGTAAACTGACACTTTCTAATACCTGAGGGTGTCAAGTTATGAGAGAGTTGACTGTGTGGGAAGGGAGATGATAATTATGGCCAATTGGTTATTGCAGCAATCTCTGGATCAAGGCTCTGCAAAAAGCTTTCAGGGTTCTCCTAAGAAAGACTGTTGTTGGTAGAAGTGACGGATATCTGGACAACCTTATCAAAAGTCTTTATCATAACCAAGTGGACTCTGATAATGACATCTTCCACAGTGGTTGTCAAAACCTCAGTCATTTCTACCAACAATGGTCTTTCTCAATGGTGATTTCAGCCAGATGATCAAACGGTATCCAGTCAAGTTGCCGTCAGTTCAACTCGCCAATGCCAACTCGCCGACGTATAAAATCAAGTAGAGACGTCGGCGAGTTGGTCCTTAATCCAGTACGACTTATTAGAAGTTAAACATGTAAAAAGTAAATGATCTTTTAGTAAAAAAAAATTCTCTTTCTTCCAACAAATTTTAGAAGGATCTCAACGCAAATAAAGCATGATAAACATCGCCAATTACTGGGGCGGATCCAGGAGTTAGTCAAGGGAGTTTCGGAGAATTGTTCCCCTTCTGAGGGGTTCAAGATTTTGAAAATTAGGTCTTCGGAAACATGATTTCCAGCTTTCTGAGGGAAAATTTAGGGGGTTCTACTGAACCACCAGAACCACCCCTGGATCCTCCCTAGAATTACTATAGCAGCTTCAGATGTGAACGAGTTATTTATTGTGACAACAACAACACCATAAAGACTCATCATGTCAATCGGTCAGATTTTTTTCAGAAAACTTGGCTTTCAAGACAAAACCTTTAGTAAAAAGCAATTCTTTTTATTTCCGAAAAAGTTTATAACAGTCTCAAGGCTAACAAAGCAAGATAAACATCGCCAATTACCATAACAGCTTCAGATGCGAACAAATTGTTGTGGACAACAGTGCTGTTAAGCCTCATCGTGATGATTGGTTAGACTTTTTTAAGAAAACTTAGCTTTCTAGACAAGATCTTTAGTAAACTGCAATTCTTTTTATATCCAACAAAGTTTTTAAGGATTTCATGGCGAGCAAAGAAAGGTAAACATCACCAATGACTATAACAGCTTCAAACGTGAACAAGTGAGTGTGACAACAACACCGTAAAGACTCATCATGTCAATCGGTCAGATTTGTTATTTAAAGAAAACTTAGGTTTCTAGTCAAGATAATTTTTAAAAAGCCAATTCTTTTCATTTCTAACGAAGTTTTTAAGGATTTCAACACAAATAAAACAAGATAAACATTGACAATGACTGTAAAAGCTTAAGATGCGAACGAGTGGTAACCGGTCGAGTCACCCGAAAGTGATCTCACTCGAAGTCATGTTGCCCGAAACTCATAGTCATGTTGCCCCATATTTTGAGTAACATCGCCTGAACTTTTATCGAGTGTTTAAACTTGAAGTAAAGTAACATCTTAAGTAAATCGTAAGGAATAAACACGTAAAATGTTGACTCGTAAACAGTTTTGGTCCACTAACCTACTAAAGACTCGAATACCACCTGGTAATTACTGTGGTTGTAAGTGTGTGGACAAAACCTGGCCTAGGCCATGGCCTACCCTGTGGCCTACCTGTGGTCAGATTTTTAAGAACATAAAAATAAAATCAGTAAGAGTCTAACGAATACTCTGGTGTACAATTATCTGTCTCTGAAAAGGGTATACTAAGAGGTCGCTAACACGATTTTCAACATCTGAGGGAACGAAACACTGCAAATATCACGGCACTCAACCATAACGATTAAGGGAGAGGTTAAGGAAGAGGGAAGAGGAGGGGCCAATATTGCGGGGTCGTAGAGGATATGCAAAATGGCGGCTTTATGATACAGGCTGTCAGTTGGTAAAATATAGTGGAGTGCTGGTGTAAAAATGTTATGAATGGCGTTATATCGGAGAGCATACATATCCAGGTAAGAAAACGCAAACATTACATGCCAGGCCAATTTTTTAAGTGCCCTCAAGTGCTGTAGAGTATTGAATCTGCAATGAGCACCCCGGGACACGCATGCATCGCTGTCGTAAACATTTCGCAAACTTTACTTGCTTTTCCAAAGAAAGGGCCAGTATTGCACTAATTTGAAAGGAGAGCTGATATGATGATGTTTGCCCAAAAGTTGCGTTTAACAGGCTTCTGTTCCTCGATTTCCTTATTCTATCAGAAGGTTAAGAAATTTTGATAGGAATGTGGCCGCCAAAACAGCAGAAGAAAGTCGTTGGTGAGACAGTACTCAGAAAAACATTGAAAGGTTTCTAGCAATGCTATCCTTTTAAAAATCTGACCACCGGTAGGCCACAGGGTAGGCCACAGGGTAGGCCATGGCCTAGGCCACGTTTTGCCCACACCCACACCCAACTAATTGACTGGATGAGTTTTACGGTGTTGTTGTCACACTTACTCATTCGCATCTGAAGCTTTTATAGTCGTTACTGACGTTTATCTTGTTTTATTCGCCTTGAGTTGCTTATAAACTTTGTTGGAAATAAAAATGATTGTTTTCTAGTAAAGATCTTAACTAGAAAACTAAGTTTTCTTTAAAAAATCTGACCGATTGACATAATGAGTCTTTACAGTGTTGTTGTAACACAATAAATATAACCACAGGTGGCCCAAGCTCTATTACAGGCTCTTTCACAGTCAATAATTATGTATTTTATGCACGGTAATTTAGGGCGTCAAGCTAAAACACATCGAAACCGCCTCAAATCGCGAGGAGAACAACACAGACTACTCTCTATGAAGGTAAGACTTTATTTCTTTGATTATTTCACACAACTTTACATTTACGGAGCTCAAAGGCAAGTCCAACTAAACCACTTTACAAACTCTTTAATTATTCACTGTGAAAGAGCCTGTGACAGAGCTTGGGCCACCTGTGATATAACTCGTTCGCGTCTGAAGCTGCTACAGTAATTGGCAATGTTTATCATGCTTTGTTCGCGTTGAGATCCTTATAAACTTTGTTGAAAGAAAAAGAACGTTTTTTTTTTTTTTTACCAAAGATCATTTACATTTCTACATGTATAACTTTTAATAAGTTGTACTGGATTGAGGATCAACTCGCTGATGTCTCTACTTGAGTTTATATGTCGGTGAGTTGAACTGTCGGCGACTTAACCATAATTCGATCAAACTACACAATCAAATGTTACTCTCCTGATCAAAACATTCACTGCCGGACACTTTGTAAGTTTAAAACCTGTCCTTCCTTGTGAGGAGAAATAAAGTATCTGCACTTACTCATTTACTTACAATATAAGCTTGATTGGCTTGATCATATGATACACCAGTAGCCTCTACAATCTGATTTAACTCATCAGTGTTCACAATAACCTGAATTCATGGACAGTAAAGAAGAAAATAATAAGCAGGCCATCATAGTATTTCTAAAATCAACATTAAACACATATTAAATGCTGGTTAAAAGCTGATGAACTTAATATCCCACAATGTCTCTTTTAAATATCTCACATCCAACTGACTTTTCTTGGATATGTCCTTTCTCTCGCTCGTTTCTACCCAATTATCTTCAAGTACCCCCTCCTCCCCTCCCTTCCTGTTTGTGGCCAGTGCAATATGCCCCCTCTGTTGTTATTATGCATATTATGTTTTGCCGTTGTTATTCTAAATTTGAAATATTCCACAGGAATAGTTAATTTGACCTACGATTGGTCCAGGTCTTTCTTTTCCTTTTGTTATTCAAACTCTCTTTTTTTAAGAATTAGCATATATATTATGTATTTTGTTTTTCCCTCTGTTGTTGTAACCGTTTTTGGATATGAGCAGAATAAAAAGAGGCAGAAGTTTGCTTTAATCGTGTAAAAACTTCACCCTTCCCCCTTTCCCTGGCCAGTACAAATAATTATACCCACTGCAATTAAAAACCTCTAGTGGAATGTAATTAGACCTGTATTAAACGGCCACCCATGGGGCATGGCATGGTGACTGCTTACACAGACTGACCAGCAAATGACTTGTCTGATGTTCATGTATAAGATTTGTCCTAACAGTCCAATAGTTGAAAGGTAATCTGCAATGCTTTGAGGACATTTGAACTCAAATTACTAACACTGATTCCAGAAAATAAACATGGAATACATTTTACTTCAAGGATTATTCTCAATGTTATTAATTAATAAGTGGTTCTACTTTAAGTGACTGTTCAATACAGGTGAAAGACAATACAAACCAGCAGTTTGTATCCAGTCATGGGTGACAGGGCTTGAATTTAATTTTTGGATCACTAACCCTTCAGGTTAGTAGACATCTTTTTTACTAACCAAATTATCAAGTTTGGTATCCAAGCTCACAAGTTACGATATCTCAAATATCAAACATTTTGATAATAACAACTAGGACAAATTAAAGAGTAGCTGAAATTGCATAGTGACCTTAAAAACATTGACAATTATGCACCTAGTTTATTTCCCTCTCATTTACCATGATTAGTCAAGAACAGTACATCTACAGCACATTCTCTAAAAAGAGTTTAAGTTGATTAAACAACTTGAGTATTCTAAGTATTCCTCTGATAGGCGGGTCTACGTGGTCTTTTTCCTGAGGTCTACCAATACTAATATTTAAATATGTTAGAAAAATTAATTTTACTAACCATTTTGGGTTAGTTGGACACATTATTTTTTTAGTAACCAAAGATCGAAAATTACTAACCATTGGTTAATGGGTTACCATTAATTTCGAGCCCTGGGTGATCAAGACTGCTTAATAGAGGTAAAAATTACAGTATTTAATGGGAAAAAGCTTCAGACTTACATACATACATACGTTACTTGACCACTCCCCATAGGGGCTTTTCAGGACCAATTCCCACCCCTCCCACCCAGGGGAGGACATCCACCACCATCCATTTTTTGATTATAGAAAGGTAGCAAATTCTCCTCACTTATTTTAAGACCATGAGTAACGGTCGAGCCAGGGCTCGAACCCTTGACCTCCTGCACAACACAATCTGGCGCTCTAACCAATTGAGGCGCTCTAACCAATTTGAGGCGCTCTAACCAATTAAGGCGCTCTAACCAATTGAGGCGCTCTAACCAATTTGAGGCGCTCTAACCAATTAAGGCGCTCTAACCAATTGAGGCGCTCTAACCAATTGAACTAATTCAGGACTTAGACAATCAACCCCTTAACATGGTGTGACTGCGTAATACAGCACCCCTTCATACAGGTTTTGAATGTAATCCTGTTTGAAGGTAGTTATGGAAACTCTTTGAAAAAGAAAAGGACTAAACGAAAACACAACTTAACAGAATTGTGGTGAACTCTTAAATCCAAACTGAATCAGCCTCTAAAAGGTAACTCAACAACCAAAGAGTGAAAAAATTGTTCACATAAAAATTTGTACAGGTCGCAGCATATCTTTATCTTCTTAACAACTCCAAAATACCAAAGGGTGATGGATTTAATGTCTGATCCATTGAGAAGTTTACAAAATGATGAACAATCCTTAGCTTATGGATAAAATGGCTTTTCTAATCATTCTCTGGGCAACTTATTGAATGATCTAAAATAATGTTGTCTGCCCAACTTTTCTAGGACAAGGTCTTTAGACACCCAACCATTCATGTAAAGGCACAGCAGGCCCATGTACTTAAAACTTGTATCTAATAATTCCACTACAGAAGTCATAAGATACAATTTGACAACAATTCGCAAAGTTAAAAATCAAGTAAAATTTTCCTTGTACGGTTTATATCATAAACATAACATGTACAGTCAGTATCACACACTTGGATCAAGTGGAACAGAGGTATACATCATATCATTTAGGCAAGTATTCAGGCCTAAAACGTTCAAATCTAATATTACAATATCAATAGCCAGTGGAGTTTGATTCTTTCTCTTCAAGTACATAATATTTTTTCAGTTCGTTTAAAGTTTAAGATTTTTCTTCAACTTTTTTTTTGATCGAACGTGGGCTAGTTTCTTTCAATCCTGTTTAAACTTTTGCAAGCCGGATTTCATTAAAAAAATCCTAATAGTATTCTTACCATTTCATCTTTAATGTTTTACTCTATAAGATCAAGTCTACGTGCAGTGCAAATCAGACCAGTGAGCAGTAATTGATCTATAGCTAACCATATAAACTATCAAAATCCATCCAACCATATCTTCATCAAATACACGCTATTAATTAGGAGGAAAGGAACCAAATTAAGTAGTAAAACCTCTTACCTTATTAACGGTCGGGGGGTGTTCTACAGTCATCACTGTCAAATCTACCTGGCAGCAAAACGCTGCCGTAATTTACTCACATGTTGACAAAACATAATTACATGCTAGCTTCACAAATCGAACCGGTCGAGGTCGGCGCCATTTTGCTAAATACCCACAATACATTGTACAACACTCGACCCAGTCTCTGATAGCGCTGCTTTTCAGTTTTAGAACGCATGCGCAGTTTAGACTTTAAAGGACTATCTTTTAAAGTGAAATTTCGGGAGTCGACAGGAATTATAGAAACCAGTAACATAGGTGAACGCATGATAAAATCTGAGAATTTAAACGTTGCTCTTCAGAGACGTCAGGTTTATCAAATTTCGTCGAAGCGCAGCCAGCAGACCAGTCGATCAAAGTTGACCACCAAAAATTAATTTGAGTGATTTCTTCGCTTGTCCCAGATGCAAACCGGGACGCCATTTTTTCCCGAGTTGCTCGGAGGTAAATAGCAAAGGATATTCGGAGTTTGACTAGCCAATCAGAGCGCGCCTTCAACGCTATCCACTGTTTTAGTATATACTAATAAGAACCTTAACAATCGAATTGTAGCTCTTCTTCATTTTTGTATAAATGGGGCAAGTTTGTAAAAAAACTGCGGTGCTGCGTCGGTGGAGGGTATTACATGATAATTTGGTTTCATCAAGTGATTGGGCACCGTAAACTATAGTGTTTCTAAGATGACGTTTTCAACGTTAGGCCTTTCTAGTCGATCTCGCATTTTAACATTTGCACATCGCAGTCACGGTTTGTGCATGCGAGCCGACGTCGTTTCCAGGGCTTTTCAGTGCGAATGAATAAAGGCTGATGGTTTCGAAAGAAACTGTTTGGGGCTGCGTCGGTGGGAGTAACGAAATAACTTGGATATACCAACAAAGTTGAAGTGGTAAATTAGCCACCGTAACGATTACAAATGCTGACGTTTCGAGCGTTAGCCCTTCGTCGGAGCGAATACTGAGAGGAATTGTGGGTTGTGTGTGCTTTTAAAGGCAGAGAATGGAGCTACGTTATTGGTGAGAACATGGCAAGGAGAAAAACAAGAATAAATCAGTGGAATGAAAAGCGTTCGTTGATCCCTGTGGGATTTAGACTACCGGTTTGAAAGATGAGCTTTTGTTCAAGATTTTTACGGCTTTCCGTGCTACCTAAGTGTAAGGAAAGACCGCAGATTGCCATATGTTGCTTAGAGCGAAGTTGCATGCGTGCAGGGAAGTGTTAGTCGTCTCCTGGGGGTCATTACAGACTTGTCTGTTCACAGACCTTCTACTCTCTCTTAGGTCATCGCCTAGAACACGATTCAAACAGGAGTCGAGAGGATGTAAAATGGCTAAGAACAGCTTATCTTTACCGCATCGTTCGGTCCTTAGTTGCTGACACTTGGATTAGTCTTGACCTTTCTGTCACTTAAGTAATTCAGGCTGGAGCTTTCTAGAATCGAGCACAAACATCCTAAGAATTTTTGGCGCAAAAAAAGTAAACTAATGGATTTCCGCGATTATACAGACAAATAAACATAATCGCGCGTGTTTTATCTTGCTAGTCACGAATCCCATCCCTCTCTCAGCTTACGTGGATTTCACGGGCCACTTTTTTTTAACCTCAAGTTCCTTCTCAGAAGCGGCGGAGCGTTTTGAAACGTGGGGGGCTGATTTTTCACCCAGTCATGCACATACCCTGACTCAATTTTTTCAAAATGCCCTTTGCGTTGTTCGTCGGCTCTAGCAAAAGTCTTTACAATCGATTTGTGACTTACTTTTATTACTTTTTTTGGCTCAGTCTAAAATCTTTCAGCTCAGCATTCGATTTGGCTTCTACGGACAACTTCTACGGACAAAATTAACTCATGTCTAGCCTAGACGCGTTGTTTAAACCTCTCGAGCAGAGACCGGAGCTGTTAAAAAAAAGCCTTACAACATATTATTTAACCATGGATTAATAAGGATTTGTGAATTGAAAAAAATCACGAGATCGAATATTTTGTCAATTTTTATGCTGCGTAAGTGATATTTTCGGCGCCAAAACGAGATGGACGGGGGACTGCACCTCCCCAAATTTTGTTTTGGTGGGGGGGGGGAGGACTACGGCCCACCTGCTCCACTGCTTATATTTTTTCGCGTACAACCCTGATCTGCGAGGCTTCCCTGCCCTCCAGTAAAGTAGTTATATTTTCTTAGCGTTGTGGTAGAAAAGATGGGAAATTCGAGATGCGGCGTGGCTACCAAGCAGCTACGTAACCAAGCTTCCAGCTGTTACAGTGCTCATTTCATCTGATCTGGGCTAGGCATTATTGTCCCTTCGCACACCGAAATTTAACTACTCTAGCCATGCTCTTTTGGCTATCTGCTCGGAAGTCTTGAAATCCAGCGGTTAGAAACTTTTAATTGGGAAGGAAGACGTCGCAATTTGACATGGAAAACGGGTTTCCGTCGCGGTTCGACCTTCAAGAACAGATTGGAAAGTTAGTATACCTACTGATTTCTGATGGGTCGTTCGAGGACTAAATCTAACAGGCAGTTGTAACTGCGAATCACCTATGTTTGCGTGTTTGCCTAATCTTGGTTTTATAACTTCTTATCTTCTTGTATTACCTTGTTGATATTTTAAAAATGTGTAGTTTGTATTACTGTCGAATGTTGTGGAGTGTGAAGCGTACCTATTAATTTGTTTGCAGAGGTACTTTCAGCGTCATTCGAAGATGTTTCGACAAAAGAAACGACCGAGTGTGTGCGGTGAAAATTGTAGATATTGCAAAAATGTCCTCCTCGAGTGGTCTGACAGAAGAAGGTAATAGGCCGTTATCTTGCTGATTTTATGCGTAATATTCGGGTGCAAGGGGATTTTGGCTGTTATCCGGTTTGCTAATGTTTAAATCCAATGTAATGAAAGCATCCTGATATTGTATGTGCTTTAAGTTTTAACCTCACCGAACTGAACGTAAATTTAACGTTCGATTTTTGATTGATTTCTTGACGATCCGATGCCAAAGGTTCGATTGCCGTAAAATGACAGGATAATATATGCTCCGTTAGGGTTTTTTTTCTCAATCCAGAACCTTGAATAAAATCAATTAGAATTGTCCCTTAGGCAAGCGATCGAAGACTTCATGTATATAAGAGTGAGCAAATTAATTTTTTTTTTCTGGCGTCGCTTTATCAGATATTGGGCACAGTGAACGATGCGAGAAATTTTTTCTTATATTATTAGATATCCAGTGAAGGGCTTGTTAATTGTGGAAACGTGATTCGTATATTTTAAAACCTGCTTTCCGGTGAGTTTGAGTCTGTCTTGGGGTGTTCGAGCCTACTAAAGCCAAGGCGTTCTCTTACGCGTGAAAAATTTTCACCTGGAAGTTATCAATCCATTCCACGTTGAAAAGATATTGATACTTTTTCTTTTATTGATTGTTCGCAGATTTACAGAGGGAGGCCCGTATTTGCCAGAATTTGCGGCACCCTCATATAGGTACAGTATGATCGAATATAATAAAAAGTAAACTTCTGTCATGTAAGTTTTGGGCTCGTTTGGTGACATGCTTATGAGGCGTCCGCTGTTATTGTTTGAACATTATACCATTTAAACAAGTATCAATTGCTCGTATAGTTTTCCTGCTTTACGTACGATATATATTCTATTGCTGATTCGACTGAAGCAGTAAGCCGAGTGATCTATGTTTATTTCCTCTTTCACAATTCGTGTAAATTTTATAAGTTTAGTGAGATTCAGAGTTTTCTTTTCTGAAGAGAAAAAAATAATAAGAAATTCAAAAATTACTTAACTTTTTCAATCAATACTTTAAAAGTTGTACTGGTCTTTTGGAATAAGACTAAAACCTCCATGTTTTGTTTCAAAATGAGATATCCTTTTGGAGTTGAAGATTTGTTCCATTTTTTTTCTCTAAGTAAATAAGTATTGTTTGTGCATTAGATGGCAGCTGGTCCCTTTGATTGTCAAAATTCATTTGGTACAGGTATATGCAAATCTTGCAGAATATTGAATTTGTATTTAAGTGGCAATTGAACTAAAAGACTGGTAAATAGGAAAATTAGTGGTCAGCTAGATACAGATGATAACAATGAGATTCTTAGGTGAAATCATGGTGATAAAAATTTTGTGGGAAATAAATGCATATATTCACAAGTTTGTAGTCCAGCAGTATTATGTGGATAGCACGTCTGTGGAATGATAAAAGTATATTCCATGTGTTATTCTGAAGTGTATGTCAAAAAACCTGAAATACATTCAAAATAGAGCATGCATGGTTTCCTGAATTCAGAATGTTTCTAACTGGTAAATGAATGAAAATATTAAATGAGCCATTAAAATATAATGGCTATTTCATCACCTTATTAATTATTGAAAGTGATTAATGATAAAGATCTGCGTTCAGTGTAGATTGATGTCACAAGCTTAGCTCTTTGCTGAGAATAACTCTGACCTTTTATCTTGTCAGGGACATAAGAATGTCTTCATGTAGTTTGTAAACTCTGCACTTTTCTTCTTCATATCATTATTATGATTATTATTAATATTATTATTGTCTCATCATTTTGATTACCCTAATGATTTTAAATGTTGTTAATAGTTAATAATGGTATACATCAATTTTATTACTTTCTAATTTTTTTAATGAAAAGTCAGAGTGATAAAGACAAAAACGGATACTTACATGTACATTTACTGTTAATGCAGATTGAATTTGAAATTCCCTTTTTCTGTGCTGTAATGCATGATTCTAGAATTCATGGTTAAGGAATGATCACAAAAAACATTGTAGATGAAAACATGTTACTATACCCATACTGTTTTTCTTTGTTTTCACTTTCCTTTTGTTTTAGATATCTAAAAATTGTATTATTTAATGAAAAAATACTGTACGTGATGTTTTTTTGTTATTTTTTAATGATGGCAAATTTTGATATACTTCAAGGCTGTGCTTTAAGAAGAATTGAAGGGAGCCTAGTGCTCTGTTATTGTGAAACCCAGGCTGCCATGCCTATGCTTTTTTAAGAGAAAAAGGAAAAAAGATTCCCCAGTCACTCAAGAGCAAGATGCCAGGGGGCACTGGGAGCTGCTAGAGGACAGCCCTACTCTTTCAATGGGAAAAGTTTTAATATAAAATACATTTACAGTACATTATTGAGAGCCACTGCTGTATTTTAATTTTAGATTTTTATTTCTGCAGTTGAAATTGTAGGAGCGTACTCCATGAATGGGTTTATTTACATGGTGTTTGAATAGTGAGTATTGTGAAGGGCATAGACAAAAATTAATTACAACCAAAGTATAAAGTAGTGCTGCCTTTCACTTGTTCAATGCCATTTTGGTTTACAGCGTACATGTCTAGTAAAAAAAAAAATTGTTTTGTAGGAATTAATCACCACCCTAGTACATGTAGTAGTGCTGCCTCTTGATTGTGCAATGTCCTTTACAGTGTAGGTAAACTTTGACAAATATTGTTCCTTTTTTTTGTTTTTATTTTTTTTCAATGGAGTCAAAATGATGGGAAATACCTCTCTCCTAAGCTGAGATGAAATGAAACTGAAATTCTCTAAGATTTGAGAGGCAGATACATGCATAGTAAAAACAAATTGTTCAAGGCTGTTTTTTATCTTGAGGCTTTGTGTGTGTGTTTGTGTGCCAGAGCATATATCTTAGAGATGAAAAAACCATGCAAGGGAAAAATATCCAACATGCCTATTTTAATAAAAGCATTAATTCTTACCAGTACATATTTCAAAAACAGTGTTCCACAATTTATTTTGCAGTTTGGATGGTGCTGATTTATGTTTCGAAATAGTGAATCGTGTACATGCAGGCTTTGTTTACAGTGAAGCTGTGGCTAGGTGAGAAGATCAACATATCTTATTAGATGTTTTGTTGTTTAGTATCGCTGAGTATATTTATGAGTTATGCTGGATTTTGACGAGCCCATAGGGCAAATCAAAATGTAAATAATGAGTGAAAATACTCTGTGATATGACACACCAAAATGTTTAATAATTAATAAAAGTTATTTATTATCCAACATGTCAAATTGATATTTCATTGTGTGCAAATTTTGCTGTGTTGCTGTTTCTATTTTCTTCAATAAATGATGAAATTTCATTGTTGTCTTACTGCTTTTCTTGGTTCAATTTATCTATTGGATCAATATTTCACCAGCCATTCCAACTCTTTGTCATCAGAAAAATGATTTAAATTGTCTGCCATTTTTTTTGTAACTTCATTCCATTTTGTTGCTTGTGCTATGCATGAAAAACTGTCTAACCAGTTCTCTGGAGTACAATTATTAATAATACAATACTGCATGGTATTTGTACTCATCTTGGGCATTGTTTGTACTCTATGGAGTGTAGTTGGATGATAAATTCACATATTGATTAGTAGTTACTGTTACAGTAGTAATTATATTGATGATAATGAGAACAGTGATAGTAATATTGATATGAATTTATTGGGGAAATCATTGATTCTCACTCCTTGTTTCAAATTCATTAATGAAAGAAACAAAATTGATGTGCCTTGGAGTATAAAATTGGAGGCAGTGTGAACAAGTGGTTTTGGTGATGGTTATGTAACCTGGTGGTCCTGGGTTCATGCCGTCCACCTGGCTACACTGGATTTGTTCAGGTTTGTCCCGACGTCAACTCTTTGGCTGCACCCAGCACATGTACTTATTAACCAAAATGAATAAAGGCTGATAGTTTTGAAAGAAACTGTTTGGGGCTGCATCCGTGGGGGTAACGAAATAATTTGGATATATCAACAAAGTTGAAATGTTAAATTGGCCACCATAATGATTACAAAAGCTGAGACGTTTCGAGTGTTAGCCCTTTGTCGGAGTGAATGGTCCGCCAAAATGGTCTGCCTCCTGCCAGTTAGGATTTTTAAACATCGCATTTGTCTAGTCATTTGTTTCCAATTTGTTTTAATTGGTCCTAAAAGTCCCATTGGGAGACTGATCAATAAGTATACAGTGTAAATTACAAACTTTAGGGAGTGAGTGCTGTTTTATTTTTGAATCAACAGTCACTACCTCAGACAAGTTTTGGAGGCAGTGTCATTTTGTCATGAAAATGAAATTGTACATCGAGATCTCAAGGTAAGATATGGATTAACCTACTAATGATTTGAGAGTACATTCTGAATCTTGATTGTTTTTACTATGAAATGCAAACAACAACAGTGACCATATCATACAGAAAAGGCATGTGCAAAACCATCTGACAGTTCCAACACCCGTAAATGTTAACATTGCTCAGAGACCAAATACTATGCGAAAATGAATATGAACTAGTGAAAAAGACAAAGGCAAACAAAATAAAAGACAAAGAAGGTTTACAAGATCCATTTTTCTGACTGACGACCCTTTTATCCAATATCAGAGACTGATACAAGACTAACCAAACACAAATAAGGGACAACCTTATTATTGACCTTTTCATTCTGAGAAATGACCAAAGATGAATACATGTGTTTCTGTACAATGTCAATTCATTTTCAAGCTGATTGTGATAAGACGAAGAAAAAGGTATCAGTAAATGGATATTTTTTTATTCAATACCAAATTCATAGAGCTACAAAAACTGAAGAAAACTGTTATTGAGATCCTGTTAGTGAATAAGTTCATTGTAGAAAATCACACTGAAACTCACTAGATTTAACCTATATACATGCACTGAATATATATGAGTGTGGGTCAACTATGATATCAGTGTCACTGTGTTAGTCATGATTTTGAGTGAAGGTCCCAATTTTTTTATTCATTGCAGCCTCACAACATTCTGTTGGCAAGTAAGGAGAATTCAGCACCAATCAAGATTGCTGACTTTGGAGTGGCTGTAGAAATTGGAGAAGAAGGTTACGTCACAAGTGGTGAGAGAAAATATGGCAACTTGCTTTATTTTTGAAACCCTCGTCAAAAGAATACTGAATTTGTAATAACTTGCTTGGAAAAAATTTTGTTACTGGTACATGTAAGTGCATGGTGCTTGTAGATACTTACAGCATACAAGTTATTTTCAGTGGCAAAGAGTAAAATTTACTAAATTAAATATTCTCAGAGATACATGTAAGTAAATTTATTGCAGTCTACAATGGGTGATTTCCCAAACTCCTCTTTTCCCTTCCTCTAAGAACGAAAATTGAAACCACTCTTGAGGAACTGAAATAGTGGAAACATTTCATTTGACATGTGGCCAAATACAGCATGAATATACAAGTCAACTCTGTAAATGGAGGTCTCTATACAAATAATAACAGTTTGATACTTATTTGTGTGCTAACGGCCTCCCGGTTAGCTCAATGGATAGAGTGCTAGACTGTAGTGTGGAGGTTGAGGGTTTGAGCCCCAGCCAGACCAACAATCAAGGTCTTAAAATAATTGAGAAGAATGTGCTACCTTCCTTCTTATTTAACATCAAGAAATGGTTAGATATTCTAGTCTTCTTGGATGGGGATGAATAAATGTAGGTCCCGTCTCCTGCAGGGTTAGGGGTAGGAGACGTTAATTTCCCACACACGAGATTACTGTGTGATGGATGTCCTCCCCTAGGGTGGGATGGGTGGGTTTGTTGGAGCTTAAACCTTGTAGGGGAGCTATGTCTTATTGTTTCTGCTCCAGTACTTTGTACAAATCCTTGAATACTCAAATACTCAAATTTTTACATGTTAGTAAGATCAAATACACATTACATAAAATACTAAATCTTCCAATGACAAACCCATGTGGGTGAGCCCTGCCAATTTATTCTCTAGCTGTATCCTCCAGCCTAACTTCCTGCCCTTTGCCCCCCCCCCCCCCCAAAAAAAAAAAAAAAAAAAAAGAAGGAAAACCTGTCAGATGCAGACACCAGGCTGTGACCCGAAAATGTCTTTCGGGCAGTGTTTGTGTCCAACAACAGTCTTAAAGTTGTATCTTCATATAATTGTCTCCTTAAATCTCTAGACTGTTTTCGTAGTGGCTGGTGACTTTTTTGATAATTGTTTTTTTTTTTCGCTGGTTTGATTCTATGAAGGACGCATAGGGACCCCACATTTCATGTCACCAGAGGTGATAAACAGGGAACAGTACGGTAAACCTGTAGACATTTGGGGATGTGGTAAGAAGATATAATACACATTTTTAAGTGTTTACCAAGAAATGATACTGAGAAATAAATTGCTACAATGGTGGTACAATATTTCTTCTGTTAAGTGGTAACAATAATGAGTCAAAATTCAGCAATTAAGTATAAGAAGAAGAAAACTCAGGAATTGTGTCAGTTGGGCCAGAAAACATTTTGAGCACTTTGAAGATAGTACATTTGAGCATTTTAAATACCTTTTCAGTGACTATTTTTATCAACCAATTCTTCCATAATTGGGTTAAATCCTTTAAATCTTTACTATAAGTACATTACTTTTAATCATTTAGTAAGTAATAAGTGAATTAGTTTTTTCACTAAGTAGATTTACTAGGTAAATCTACGATTACCATTGCTTTGTTGTTGCAAACATTTCCCCAGGTCCTCCTTCTCTTTCGATGCATTTCCAGTGTCAATTTTGAAATGGTTATATATTAAGCAGTTTGCCCTTAGTCTCCTTTTCAAATCAAACACCTTGTAATGCATGGCTGCTTCTCATTCTTTTGTTAGGTGTTGTACTCTTTATTCTTCTAAGTGGGTCATACCCCTTCCATGGAACAGGAGAAAAGATATATGAGTCAATCAAGAAGGGTATACCCTTGGTATGTTAATGATGAAAGATAGGTTGAAATTAAGGCCTATTTTGACAGTACACTGTTGAACAAGAGCTGAAGCTGATTAGCAATAATTCACTGAACTAGAAACATTGAATTTCATTGAGTCCAAGGGGGAGTCAAGGTGCTAATTTACGGGATATATTTGTGTTAATCGTGTTCACGTAGTTTCCACAAGGTCAGAACAAACGTAAATTTATGTCAAGTAGCAATGTTTAAATTCTTTTGGTGATGGTTATGTTTGGGCATCTTGTAGATGAGACCCAAAATTTGGGACAGCATATCTGATGAGGCAAAAGATTTAGTGAAGAAGATGTTAGCCCAGGATCAAAATGATAGACTGACAGCTAGAGAGGCACTGCAACATCCTTGGCTAAGTGTATGTACTCTGAATTTGGGTTTACCATTAGAAGCTGCCAAGTCTTTTTTTATAACCACACACTTCATTTGAGTCTGCTCTCCTTTTAATGTCAAAGAAATAGTGGAATTGCACCAAAGTAGAGCTCTATTTTCAAAACACAAGTGTTCTTTGAGTGGAAAAGCTGACAGAGATTTGCATCACAGGAAATGTTGGTGGATGCAAAATTTTGAATTGTCAAATGGAACATGAAGTTTTTAATATGGATCTTATAAATGTTATTCAGTTCAGGCAAAGTGGGTGTATACTTGAGGTGCTCTTAGAGTGATGAGGGTAATTTGTTTTGGTAATTTTTAAGGTGTTAGGACTGTACATTGTACATTTATATCCAGGTGTTTATCTCAACAAGTGGTTATTTAGAAGCAACTTCAGAGATGTTAGGGTCAATTATTGTAAAAGTACTTATAGTACAGCCAGTTGCTATGTAGATATAGTCCCAACTGATTCAATCCTTTACTGATAAAATGGCATTCGTCTCCATGATAAGTATGCTAAAACTTGAAAACAACCGTAGCTGGTGTGTTTTGTTGTGTTTTGCATCACAGTCATGTATATTTTTTTCTTCTCTAGAATCGCAATGTACCACAGAGAATTCACCTTCAGGATTCGGTAGATGAAATGAAAAAGTTTAATGCAAGAAGAAAGTTAAAGGTGATAAAAATACACTCATTTTGTACAAACAAGTTATGTATGCAAGTTAACTGCTGTGGGAAACGTAATTCCACCCCTCCAGTACATCAAACAACTCACTCAATATTAACACAACTGCTAGGGTTAATCAGTTTGTCATGCTGGTTACATCTCACACTTATCTAACATTTCGTCCTTTTCCAGCTGTTGTCTGCTTGTAAAAACAGGCAAATTGCGTAGAACGTTTAACCAGTGTGTCTCTCTCTTCATAGGGAGCCATCTTAGCTGCTGTTGCCAGCAGCAAATTTCCGGGTATGATCACCGTTATTGACTGAGCTGTATTTTTTCAGTTCTAGTTACAACTGCCTAAAATTTTTGTCCTTCTTTTTAAATATCCCACTGACTTTTTTCTTCAATTTTCAGTGGCAAACGGAGACGTTATTGGTTCTCAGGTAATGAACTTTTTCCTTTCACCCCAATGTAGTTTCTGTAGATTGTCGTGATTTTTGCGGAAAGCAAGAAAGACAATACTAGAAGCTATAGTTATGATTGCTTAGCGGCTATCTCGTCGTTGTGACCGTTTTGGTGTGGAGTTCGTTTCACGTGCTGTTATGGTTGGGAGAAAGGCATGGAGAAATTTGAAAAGCGCGAAGAATATACGAAGTAACCAAAAACTTCATAGGCTAAATGAAGTATTCATATCAGTTCACGATGTAACTTTGATTACTCCATAGGATGATGTTTTTGATTACGAAGACGATGATCTATCTGCATCAGGTGTGATTGGTTCCCTTTTATTTTGTTTAATTTTTCTTATCGTTCTGTGGCCAATTTGAAGTTATCTCTAGACCGTAACTACCTTCTTCCCCAAGGAGGCTATTTGTAGATATGTGTGCGTTATTTATGCTTGAGAATTATTTACAGAAAGGATGCGCGTTGCAATCTTACGGAATTCCTTATGATCTAATTTGATTTCAATCCACTGATCTCCATCAAACCTGTGGCCATTCGCAGGAGCAATTGGCCAGCTTCTTGACTCTTTAGAAGAGATTCAAGTTCTGGCAGGGGCAAGCGAAGATGATGTGAACTTTTTACAGAACTTCTTCGAACATCAGACGCTGCAAGCCTTACTAGAGGTGAGAACGTCATTTTTCTACTTACCCTAGTCCTGCCTTATTTTTCACTCATATCCCCAAGAATTCTCACACAAAGGCTGAAGCAAGGCTGAAATGTATTACTAGTTACCTCTCTGTATCCTCGATAAACTAACAAGTTATTAAACCTGTACAATCAAAGATACTGCAGCAGATGGAAATCTCTCCTTTTTCCCTCGTATTATACGCCTTGATGCACCTCGAGGGATTGGGTAAGAGTAGACGCCGGACACTTCGGATACAAGTCGAGTAGGGTGGGGCGGGGGGAGCGTGCTCCTTTTATTTTGGGTTGGTTTTGTGTACTTGGCACTTTGAAACTTTTTCGTCATGCGAAGCCGCGTTGAGATTATTTTTGAATTACTCCCTTATTTTGCAATCAACGTGTGTTAAGTTTAGTGCAGTTCATTATGATTCAAAACCAATTATTACTTAATTTTTCCTCCACAATCTTTCAATGTGAATTGTGTGTTCTTTTAGTGTAATTTGGAAGGAAGTTTTGATTTTAGCCAATTTTCTCGCATCCCGTTTTCTCGCTCGACGGGGGTCTCAGCTGGAGAAGAGAGAAAATGTACGGGTATATGCGGTTTACAGGTAGCGTTCGCACAATTTTATGCAGATCTGTAACACGAAATGGCTTGAAATTCGTTTATTTGGGTTTGAATTTTATATTTTGATTTGAAAAAAGCGTAAAGAAAAGATGAAACAATTAAAAAAACCGGAAGGAAAATTGTCTAAAATAAACTCGTGCACTAAGTTTCGTTGAATTTTCATTTTATAAACTAGAAATTTATTTCTTTTTAGTATGTCAAGAATTTTGAGTACACGAGGATGGCGTAATCTTGACAAGTCATTTATAACCCATTAATTCGTTGCAAATCAAAGAAGAAACAAAGCTATTTTCAACACTTGTGTATAAATGAAAATGTTAATTAGCTGTCCTGTTAGGGAGGCGCTTGACGTTTTTCTTTCAAATAATCAAATTAAATTAAATTGGTTTGCATTGTGTCCGTCATACTCATATGCTAAGATTTATAAGAGGGTCGACAAATGAATTTTTAAAAACGTATGGCAAAAATTTCCTTGAAAGCTACCTCATACATGCCCCTCTGAATCCCAGTCGTATTCTGTTTTTATCGTCAACAGTGAAGATATTGTTTTGAGTTCTCTTCGTACGTAAATTTATCATTTTGTTTTTGCGAAAATTCTCTTAAGAAATCTTAATGGAAATATAGTTTACTGCTTCGTAGATTAGTGGAAATTGTGGCTTTCGATATTCAAATGTTATCTTTTGGGTTAATAATTGATTCCATCCAAGCCCACAGACTGGTACTGACGCTGTCAATAGAAAAAAAGAGAAATTTCATTTCTATTATTTTCCGGTCATGTTACAGGTTTACGACAGAAGTCAGGAGTGGACGGATGAGAATCGTTCGTGTCCATCGACGAGTTCACCTAGCGCGGTGGAGGACGCTAAAGAGGTGAGGAAAAATATGTTTGAAATGACATCCGCAATTTTTCGATCAAGCGCCCTTCACACTGCAAAAATCTTTTTGCAATTTTTGTGCTTCAGAAGATGCGGTTTGTGTTCTCTGAAGGTTTCGCTGGTGAAGTCTTTTTATTTTGGTAAGCGGAGCCGCTTTTTACAGCAAACCAACAAGAGGAAAACTTTTTTTTTTAAGAGTAAAAATTCGTTTTTGTTGTGTCAGCATTCTGCTGCCACTTTCTCGTGGTTTATTTTCGAATTGAATATTTCCTAACTTTTTGTAAAAGGGTATTTCCTTTTTCAAAACAAAGCTTGGAGTGTTTTTATGGCGTTGACACTTGTTCTATGTATCTTTAGTCAGTCGTTAGTGTAAATGATGAAGTAAACATTTCGGTATCGAAACCGCTTCAGCAGGCTTCTCTTGTGTGGGCTGTGAAGGCTAAGTCTTTGCAATGCTTTTATTAGACTTGTTGAGAATCTACAAGGTTGTCGACTAATCGTTACCCGTTCTTTGGGATAATTTTTCATGCTTTTCTCGACCCAAGTCCTCTCTAAGATATGTTTATTCCAATGAAGAAAGGAAGGTTTCGGCGGCGTTGAAATACCATTTTGGAAGTGACGGATTATTAAAATTATTATGATTTTTTTTACGAAATGGCTTCAGTCGTTTAAATCGTTTTATCATTGTTAACTTTCTATAGTAAGTCCATTTCTGGTTATTTTTTTTTTTTTTTCATTCTTTCAATCGTGTTTTAGTTTTACTTGCTAATGAATGGACTCACCCATCAAAGTTAATTGCATAATTGCTGCTTCATGGAAAACACTCAACGGAAGAAACAGCATATCCGCAAATCACTTCCCATTCCGTGTCGAATGGACTTTTACTAATTGGTTGAAAATCATATTTGATTCGTTGTGAGTGCTATAGGTAGCACTAGATAGAAAGACGTCACAAATTTATACAAATTTTACAGTAATTAGATAGAAAAGTAATTTCACTCAAGAGGGTTTTTGTCTTTGTTGTCGTTTTTACCAATGTGACATTTATAAAATGTCGCTGAAAGTACAAGAAAATTAATGTGTTGTCGAAGACAGATCACGGGCTCTGGGTTCGAACCTTAAGCAGATCAACTGATCAACAGTTGATGATAGGCAAGTCATTTCACTTTCACGGGGTCTGGGCAAGTCATCGTTCCAACTTCACAATACACTAGGTCACTTCATGCAAGGACAACTGGGATAATATCCATTACTTTGGTCCACTAAGGATGTGTACTTCCTTTTCCGTACATCCTTTACGCGTTCAGCAAGATTTGAGACTATTTTAAATGTATTTGTTTCCTGTTGACATCTTGCCTAATGTTTCGAGTGGTTTCTGTCCATTTTTATCAGATTTAACATTTCGCTTCAAGGTGTATCCAATAAGTAATTTTTCCAAACTGCTCTGGCAATGTGAGTACTTTTTCAAGCGGACAAGTGATTCGGACTTGAAAGTTAGTAACAAGGGATATTATATACTGTAGCCGAATTCAAACTGCTCTGAACTTACACAATGAGAGATGCAAGGCCGATAGTAATGAGAACTTGAGGTCGAGTGTAGTCACCCTAGTTTCTTCAAAGACTACTTTTAGCTCACGGTTATAACATCCTCTCTGCTGTGCATGATACAGAAGATCAGATCAGATTAAAAGGGTACGCTCCCTCGGCATCAAATTTGATATACGCAAGGAAAGAACATATATATACATTATCATTCACTTACTTGACTGTAGCGATTTTAGTAAAAAGCTGGAAATGCATCAGGATTTCTTTGTCGCTTCGTTTTTCTTCAAAAAACCTCAAACACAAAGGCTGACAATCTTTGCCCTGAAGTCGTCCGTTTTCCTCAAGCCGATTATTTAAACTCTGTACAAATACACATTAGGTAATCAAAGTTACAATAATTATGTCCAGCATAGCGGAGCGTCCTTTGTTTCGTTTTTGGTTTTTAATCCCAATGTTTCATTAAATTTTGATCAAAAGACAATCGTCAAATGTCAGTGATAGCTACAGATAATCTCTCAGTAAGCTGCCCAGCCATCCATTAAATCACTAAGGTGGGGTTGTGCAATTTTTGGTGTCCGATTTGTCGTGAAAGAAGTTTTGGCTCCCTCCGGTGAATTTTGTTCTCTATCAAAGCGTCATTATTACATGTTAATTGTCTGGCTGTTTGTAGCTGTTACTCTCGCTCACTAGTGTATGTAATAGGGGCTGTTCTGTCTTCTGCTTTGTTGATATTTCATGATGAGGTTGTTTTCTATTTTCGTCGTTCTTGTATCGGCTGATGTATTCCCGTTTTCACAGGTTATTGACTTGGTCGAGTTCAGGGCCGAGGACGACGACGACTGCTACGAGTTGCAAAACATTTTGTCAGACCCGCACGTGATGGTAAGCTATGAAACAAATTTGATATCCCAATACGGTATTCACCGCACAAATCAATTTCCAGTTAGCGCGTAAAAGAAGAGTTTTTTTTTTGTGTGTGGTACTTAAAAGCGCGTGATGTTCAAATTTACTTTCCAATCGAAGAGTATCTTAAAATAAAAGTTTTTAGGAGAAAGATAGCATTTTTTTGTCAATTAGCGAAACAGATGTGGGGATCTTTAAGTCAGGGTGGAGTTGATTATTAAACAAGGGTGAAAAACGACAGACTCTGTAAACTTCTCCCCTCCATTTCACGCTTTAGCGGAAAGGCTCCAATGTGAAGAAAATTCCTGCGTGTCGTGTGTCACAAAGTGTAACTACGAGAGATGAGCCATGAATTAGTGATGTTGACTCATCATTGTGTGGAAAGGAATCCAAGGTTTCATTTACAGCACAGTGTTTCAAGAATTTTTTTAAGAACCTCACGTAGTAACTGAATGCCCGTTGCATCTGGTTATCTGAAGAAGTTTCTAGACATTCCTGGGTAGATTTTAAGATCAGTAAATTACTGGTTAATCGGCTTATAAAGTTAACAGCGGTGCGAGATTCAAATTATTTGATGAAATAATCCTTTCTCTTCAACTTTTTGCGGAAAGTGTGTTTCTTACTTTGGTCAAATGGGACCACGATTCAAAATATATCCTGCCTACTTGACGGTAATTAGAGAAGGATGAACCTGTATTTCACATCAGACAATTAACTTAGGTTACTCTGTTTTGTTTTCATAACGTTTAAACGTGACGTGGATTAAGAAATTGAAATTGTGACCTCTGGAACCCATTGTACTTCATCATGAAATTTACTTTTATTATCTTTCTTCGAAACGGCAGCTAAATATGGGACCGATTTGATTTAAAACCGCCCACAAGTTTATCCAAGCTACTTAAAATGCAATGTTTATTTGAAAATTATTTGTGTGTCTTGGAGTGTATGATAAACCCGTATTCATTTTAAAATGTGTATTTATGAACAAATTCAGTTATCGGCTGGACAATTTCAATTTGTCTTATGTGGACTATGTCCTTCATATCTGAGATTTACTTTGATTGTCTTTACAACTTTGGAGAAGTGTCTTTTTACCCCTCTGTGATCTGAATTGTTACTAAAACTTTTTTTCATCCTGAAGGCGATGCTTCAGTCTCACGATGAAGTGTTGAAAATCTCTACGGGTGAAGAAGTAAACCCGTTGCAGGCTGATACATCCACTGGATATAATGGCAGAATGGAGGAGTCTGTGAGCGAAAGACCGGAAAAACTCACCCGTGTTCGACTTGTTCAGTTTCATAAAAATCCCAACGAACCCATGGTAAGGATGCACGTGTAAGCATAGCGCCCTTTTAGCTATTTGCTTGCTGGGTGAGAGAATTTCCTTTGAATACAAGGAAACCCGAAAAGAAAGTGTTTGCTCATGTACTGGAACGTGAGAGTTGTAAGAGCAAGCCAAAAACGAACCAGAATAGTGAAGAATGGCGAAGTTTAGAGCGGATTGCAAATGAGAAATACGTCGGTAAAAATTTTTCAAGATGCACAAACCGAAGCGCAGCTTCTTCGATAAAAAACTAAGTTTTTTTATATTTCTATCTATCTATCTAGCATGGATTTTTTTTGTGTGTGTAATTTTTACGATGTAACCATTCTTTATTCGGAAAGTTGCCCAGCGACTGAACTGGAAAATGGAATATCCTTTCCAACTGATTTGTTGTTGGTTGATCTGTGTTTTGTGTCGAGTAAATTCAAATATTTCATGGTGCAGATGTTATTGTGTTTATTTCCTGATTTTAGAATTTTTTTTCCTCAGGGAATTACTCTGAAACTGAACGAACAAGGAAGGTGTATTGTCGCAAGAATCATGCACGGAGGAATGATCCACAGACAAGGTTTGTTTCCTTGAAGTCTGCAACAAAATTGATAACAACGCGTCCAACCAAAACCAAAGCAACTCGAGTGATCTCTGTCGTAGTATTTTTTAAATGACCGCCATGATTCATTTACCGACATTTCTTTTTTGGCTAACTAATAAAAGTGTTATAGATTGAAAAGAAACTAAAAATTAAAGCGTACATTTCAGTGATGAATATAGCAGAACAAAGCATTCGCTAAAACTTGACTTTTCTTATGCCAGGTAATCTAGGTATCCGAAGTAAACCGTTACAGCTACGTTAATTAAAATTTCATTCCGTATTTTCGTCTTGTTGACGACAAACAGGTGAACTATTTTTATCGTCTTGCATAAATGGGAAGTTATAGCCGCAATCGAGTATGTTTCCTTATAATTTTGAAGGCTAGATGCGCTTGCGTTCAAGGCAGAGAGAATGTCGGGGAGTTTTGGTCATCGACTCGTAAAATTGCAAAGGCATTTATCACGCTGTCCATTAAGTAAGGTGATTTACCTCTTTACTAGTTGGTGTCTCATGAGCTGGGCTTGCTTTAAACTAACGAGTAAGGAAAATAACGATCGGGGTGACGCCAGGTCTTGTGACTAGTGTCACTATTGATTTTTACGGTATAACAGGCTAAATTTACCTGCAAAGCAGTTCTCTCTAACAAACGTATTCGTTGTTTCCCTTTCTAGGCACACTTCACCCAGGAGATGAGATCCGTGAAATAAATGGAGTAAACGTGGCAGAGAAGTCAGTCGAAAACCTACAAGCTATCTTGGTGAGTTACAAAACACTCACCCTACCCCTGAATGCTTTGAACCCTCTACACCCTGCCATCTGGATGCATTTTCTCCACACATTACCGATGGAACTGACAGGGAGAATTTTGTTTGACAATCTAGAGTGCTTCTTCTGATGGCGATTATTTCTTTCTTCTCGTGGCCATGACGTTTGATTCAGCAATACTTTTGCAAGGAGAACATAGCTACTGGCCGATCTTGGGTTTTAAGGGCTAAAGGTTTAGTAAGAAACTGATAACTGACAATTTTCTCTCGTCTGCATCTCTTAGCGTCAAGCAAGTGGAAATGTCACTTTCAAGATTGTGCCAAGCTCAAAGAATTTAAACCAAGTCTCTGAAGTAAGTTTGCTGTGGAAAATATGTAGGAAGAAGAGAATCGAATATGTTTTGCCCATAGTTAATAGATTAAATGTTTAGGTGACGAGAACAGTTCCTTTAATGCGACTTCGTAATGTTCATGTACACCCAAGGCTGAAATTTCATGGATACGAATATACGCTTTGGAAACACCATGCAAAATGATGAAAGGCATGGCGCAAAAAAGTAGCAAATAGTTGAAACCAATGTTCCTTTATTACACTAATTGAAGAACAGTGACTGAGGTTTAGCTGGGTCACGGAATGTAAAAAAAAAAATGAAAAGAGTTTGACTAGGTCTCTTGATTGTTTCGGTTTATATTAGCGTACTTACTTAACGCTTCCATTTTCAGGTATTCGTGCGGGCGCTGTTTGATTACGACCCCCGTGGGGATGATCTGATTCCCTGCCAACAGGCCGGGTTAACCTTCGCTTGTGGGGATATTATCCAAGTTGTAAGTAAAACTGACCCCTACTGGTGGCAAGCTGTAAAGGCTGACGATAAAAACGGATTCGCAGGACTTGCTCCGTCGCCCGAGCTACAAGAGTGGTTAGTATTTTGGCAGATTTTAAAAGTTAGTCACCGTCGAATGATAACTGCGTTATAACATTTATGACGTTATTGTATGAGTCTTACCCGAGCGTGCTTTTTTTTTTTTTTCGAAAAACGTTAGGCAAAAATCCCTGTATGTAGAGCATACGCGATGGCGTGAGCAGGGCTGTACAAAGCCGCAAGCCCTTGCGAACTGCGAGCACAAATAAGAAAGAAAGAAAAAGGAGAAAAAGGACGGACATGTTATAACACGCCTTTTGATTGAGATAGGTCGGGCTGGAAGGGAAAATAGGTGGTTCTCGGTGATGACGCTCGGACCCCGCGGCGCGCGGTATGAATGTCAAGCCAAATATTTCCCTTCCGGCACTCCCTATCAGTCAATAAGGCATACTGTCATCAAAATTGAAAGCCTTGAATCTAAATATCGCTGGTAAGAGACCTGAAAACGCTTAGAAGCTAAAGAAAGATAGAATAAAGCAATTTAGGACAGGTGGCATAGGGCGTATTCTACGCAGGGAATTTTACAAAAGCGGATGTGAGAAAACCCAAAGTATTTTTGAAAGAAACAAGGCATGCTGGTAACATCACTGAATTTTTATTTCCAGGAAGGAAAAGAGGGAAACAAGGGCAAAAAAAGTGTTCACGATTAGCTTCCGTGTAGTAGTTTTTAGAAAGAGGAGTACAAAAACTGACTAGCAGGAAGGTCTAAACTTTAGTGGCTCAAGTGGATCTTTAATATTTTTTCGTAGGAGAGTGTCGTGTTTAGCTGCAGAGAAAGCCAGGAAGCAGAATGGCGGTGAGAATGTGTTTTTTGACTGATTCAATCAACGGCCTGGAGAAGGAATGAGTTCGCCTGCCGTTCCGTGCGGTTTCTGAATTGTTTCTGCCATACCTTGAGCGTTTTCTGTTATCCAGTCTTTTTCGGCTTTTGGTCTTTGTCGTAGTTTCACTTAGTTTTCCTGCATTTTCTTTTTTTCAAGTAATTAGTACAATTATGTCTATATATTTCTTTCTTGCTTTTAGTATTGGTATCACTGTTATTATCATTTGTCTGTGTCCGTATGGTTATGAATATGATTATCATTATTGTTGTTAGTAGTGCTATTATTATTACTGTATTATAATTGTCGCCATTATCTTTGAGTGACAATTGTTGATATTTCCTTCAGCAACTTGTATATGGTTCAACAAGAAAAAGAAAAGTGGCCGGGATAAATATGTGGCCAAACACAATGCAGGTATGCGCTAGGATTTGTTCTACTAACATGTATTGATTTGTATCTAGGATTGAATAGTCAGTGATACAATTATTTTTCTCTTCTCTCTTTTCTCGTAGTATTCGATCAGCTTGATCTTGTCACTTATGAGGAAGTTGTCAGGCTCGATTACTTTAAAAGGAAGACACTTGTACTTCTTGGTAAGAATAGATAAGCCATTTCCGAGATCTTCACTGCACATGCTTCAAAAAGACGGTTAAAGAAGACCTTTTGATTTGAAAAGGATTTTTCCCTTATGCAGTACAATTCATTCTCACATCACAGGTTTTGCAGGTAGCTTCGGTTTCGGAACTTTGAAGTGATATATTGAATAGCTTTAACTTTTTCATTCGTGCTGTGGTCGGATTGAAAAGCCCGGGTATAAATCTTGGTCGGCTTTTTTTCGTGTAGTGTTCTTGAGTTACACATAAACTTAGAGTTAACTTTGTTTCAAGTCACTCGGGAGTATGGTTATCGGTGAAATACTAGAGAAAACTGACGAAATGCAAGGGATAGGTACCTGCGTCGGACTAGTATCTCAACCAAGGGTAAAAAGTTGTGCTCATATTTGCTTCATATTATGCTAATCGCGAAAAGCTCCGGCAGGTTTCTCGTTGTGCTAACCGATGTATTCGCAGTATGAATGTGTGTTAGAAAGAGGTAAATTACACCAACAAGGTTAAAAGACTTAGTGCGGAGTTAGGATGAACATAAATGTTCATGAAGATCCGTTAATGTTATTCCAAAATCCTGATCTCGGGCGTTTACTATTATTTTTTTCTCCTTCACAATGCTATGATTTTATCAGGAAGAATTAGCCAACTTTGAAGTGTGGAGTGTTCGTCTCTTTGGAGCAAATGCCTCTAATTACACTGGGATTATAGCTTTATCTTGAACCGAATGTAATTTTGGCTCCGTGTTAGCGGTGTGGTCGCTAAGAGATGACTCCAACGGTAATTGAAGATGGCAAATGCGACGGACGCTTTTGATTGGTCATAATAAAATTGTGCTGAGTGCATGGCATCGCTAAGAAGCATGGCTGACCTGTTGGTAATAATTGCAGGCTCTTGAGCTTTAGATTAATCCGCCTGATACTATTTGCTATCTTAATGATTGCTCTGTTCACAGAAAGACATTTTCTTTCTCCAGGAGCACATGGCGTTGGAAGAAGGCATATTAAAAATACGTTGATCAATAAATATCCCGAAAGATTTTCCTACCCTATTCCACGTGAGTAAATGCTTATGTTTTTTGCAATTGGTGGTTTAATTTATTTAGTTTGGGTGTGGCTTTCCCTGTATTTCTCTTTTAATTACTTAAAAATTTCTTGCGCAACTGTCATCCAGCAAACCAACATCATACAAATTCAGTTTTTGATATGAAGCTGACGACATTTTATTTACAAAGTTTTTGTAACAAATCCGAAAACTAAGTTTAAGAATAGTTTATTAGCTTGCATGTAGATTCCCATAAAAAGTAAATGTTGTCACTGACGAGGAACTATGAAGCACTATAGACTTTGAGTAATAATTCCTTCCATTTCTATGAAAGATACGACAAGAGAGCCGAAAGAAGGAGAAGAGGATGGAAAAAATTACTTCTTCGTATCCGCCGAGGATATGTTACTGGACATTGAGGCCAACAAATACCTGGAATACGGTACACACCAAGGCGCCATGTACGGCACCAAGCTCGACACGATAAGGGACAACCTTAATCAGGGCCTCACAGCGATACTCGACGTGGAACCTCAGGTAAATTAGGACCCCCTTAGACAGGCCTTTTAAAGGCCTTACAGCAGTGGGCTGTATATCAACCGAAATCGTCTTGGTGTTACTTGGGAAAGTAAACTGAACTAGATCTGCATCATCTAAACAATACTATCTTTACTTCATCCCTAACAAGTTCGCTCTCTAATGAATGCAGTTTATGTGAAATGTTAAGTGTCTTCATTCGCACAACCAGCCTCAGTCTCATTTTTTTGTCAGTTACTAGTTCAGAGAATTCAATGTTACAAGCGCCACTCTGGTTACTGAGGATTTCTAATCTTGCTTTCTCTTCTGTCAGGCGCTGAAGCTTCTTCGAACGGCAGAATTCTCTCCTTACGTTGTGTTCATCTCCGCACCAACTATCATTGGAAACGACAGCACGAGAAACCCTCCTGTGCCAAACGGAGATGTTGCTGTAAGCTTATCCTGCCTCTTTTTATATTCTCCGTGTGTTCCTCAGTAATTCTGAACATTAAATAGAGGATATCACATGGCCGCGCTGAGATACCAAATTTCTCTTCAAGTGTTGAAAAATTTTTCTCGAGTGAGCGAAGCGAACGAAATCTTTTCCAATAGTAAGAGAGAAAAATTGCATCTCCGAGCGGCCGTGTAATATTCTAGTTATTATATAAACACCAATAAAAAACCAAACCATTTTACTTTCGCTACGAAAGGCGCGATTTATTATTTAACCATAGTGACGGTGTTATTTTTACGTGTGAATATATGAAGATTATCTGCACGTATTGAGAATGTTCTCTAGCTTTTATTACCATATTCGAAATCAGTATTCTTAGAGCAACTCAACATGTTGGTATCAAAAACGAGTGAACAAAGACGATATCAGACTCTCCGCTTGTTATTATGTAATTTTCATTCTAGCTTAAGACTAAAAAAAGAGCAAGTTGAAGCACAACTATTTTCGTAACGGGAAGGGCCTGCAATTGCAAAGTATCTTTGTTAGAGACGTCCTCAGATCTTCGAATCGCAGTTTTATTTAGAGCAGGAGCTTTTCTTACTAAATTCGGTTCCTTGCGTCAGGATAGTATTAATTAAATAAATTTCTGGTGCCGATAGATCTGTTCACTGTATTGAACCAGACAGTGAAAACCCCTAAGACATAGGGTATCATCGCTTTGAAGTCTGATTTATCAAAGTAACACTAACTTCCTCCATGACTGATTTTGTTCGTTTCATCTCATCATTTCCCAGAATTTGAAATTTATTCTCCAATTAATGAAAGGCCATTCGAGTACTAAAGCACGTACTAAAGAAATTTGCTTTGATCAGCTTTCTGCTGGAATTAGTCTTATTTCTACCTATCCTAACTAATTTTTTACTCTTAATAGGACGAAAGTCTTCAGAGGCTGGCTAAAGAGTCAGACACACTCCACCAGACTTACGGGCACTTGTTTGACCTGACAATCGTTAATAACGATATCGACGACACGATTCGCCTTCTGGAGAACGCCATCGATCAATTGCACAAAACTTCGCAGTGGGTACCAGTGTCGTGGGTGTACTAACTCCACCTTACCCCTTGTTAGGATCACGAACGACATGTGGCAAGTCATGGCCAGCGCCAACAAAATGTACCCAATCCTTCTCTTTCTGGTATTTGGACCCGCTCCTTCCTCGCCAGTCGTTGGTTAAAGTAACCTATCCAGTCATTCACTGTATTCGTACCGTATATATCTCTTAATAAGGGAATGGAGTTTTTGGTGTTCGATGCCCAGTTTCCGTAGAGTCCGTTCAAAATCAAGTAATGAATCATCAGAAAACCTCAATAATAACATCGTACGGGGGAGTTTTATTTGCGAAGTGGAAGAATTGATTCAAGTTAGACGTAGTCAGGACTTAATTGCTTGGTAAAGCCTCACAGATTGTGGGTTACTGTGCTGAATTAGCTCAAAAAAATTGTCCCAAAGCTTGGGAATTTTCTACCCATTTTTCCATCTTTCACGCCCGTTTCTGAATAGTCGCTCTGTGTATAATTTTACGTTGATGTATGTGCTACGGAATCTGGTAATGATCATCTCAACTTTTGAGGCTCGTTTGAACACCACAAAGTGTTTCATGTCTTGGAGGTTGCCTTAGGAAGAAAAGAGAATTTCTTTTTTGTTCCCAAAATTTTGTAGTGAACGACGGTGTTTCGTTCCAGAGCGCCTGGGTATTGGGTCAGTTTGATAAAACTTAAAAAAAAAAGCCTTCTATTTGGTTGCGTATGGCTTAGCCCGTGAAAAGCAATCCTATTAGCCAATGAGAATGAAATTCAATAGAAGAAAGTATTGAAAAAGTAATGAGAGCTGCAGCGGCTTGCTTTAAAACGTAATGAATGTTTTTTTATCTGGATAATTTCTCAAGTTCAATTGTTTATCGATATCTCTAAGAAATTCGAGTTTTCGAATAATGGAAGTGGAAATAACAGATGTTCAGGCCGCAGATTGACGCGATTTTCCTCTTGAATTCGTCTGTCCAAGTATAATGAGGTACTTTGTGAAATTTTTGAACTTGCTTGAATCCCTTTTGATTGCAAAGATCAAAGGCATCAATTGTGGTTTTACTCTTTCTAATATGTGGTTAAAGGTGAACTTTTAGAACCAAATCAATAACTGATTGTTTGCGCCTTATTTGAAAGGTGCATTTTTGCTTTGAGAATGTCAGCTCAATGGAATTTTTTTTTATCTTTTTGTTATATTAATTCCCATAAATGTATATTTAAGAGAGAATTTTCTCAATGTTATGTATTCAAAGCTTGCTTTTCATTTCCTAATTTTGTATGTCTATGTATAATTCGATGTCAGACTTATTTATCATTATAATTTAATGTAAGTCGCTCAGTAACCACTCAAATCTAAAAGACGCAAACATGCAAGTTATTGGAGATGCTCATCCAGTAATATCACCAGAAAGTACGTGTTTTGATGTCAAGACTTGAACAAGCAATTGGGGGCTTCATTTTTAACTGATCGGGCATGTTGATGTGGGAATACCATGTGACTGAAAGCATTCATTTTAGAAGACAACTGCGCGAGTTAATTTTGCGTCAAAGCATGTCACGTGATTGCTTGCGTGACGAATTTCTGTTGTCTGTTGAAAGCTAAGTTTTGAAGTTTTCTGTCTTCGAGATCTTACTTTATTTCCGTCATGAATGTGAATTGTGAAATATGTACAAAGAACTGCCTTATGGCAAAGGATGGGACGAGTTCATGGCTTTTGTGTTACTGTCGGAATACAAAAGCGGTTAAGATGTGGATAACGCAAAACATGTAATATTGAAAGAAACGGAATCTTGATTGAAAGAAGAGCACGTATTTGTAAGAATTCTCTTTTTATATGTATAGGGATCGCTGTACATTAAAACATGTGAAACTTGAGAAGTGTGTCAATCTTTTATCTTCGAACATCTCTTTCACCTTAAACCTGTAGCTTAAAAGAGAGCAGAGACAAGAATTTTCAAGAAACTTTGGAATGCAATAAGTAGAGCAGACGTTGTTTGGTCTCGTCACGCAACGCGCCCTCTTACCCCTACAAACACAAGAATGCCGATAAATTTACGCGGGAACCTACGTCACTTAAATTGTGTTGGTACGTGATTGGCTCTTTGGAAAACAAACGACGGGGTGTGATTGGTGCAATTCCTTATTCTGCTCAAAACTAAGGGAGAGACGTGGTTCCGATGGAAGTAGCTGATGGCGAGGGAAAGTGCGCGTTGCGCGACGAGATCAAACACTAGCTTTGAAGGAACTATGCCACAGACGGATTGGGAGACGGTAGCTCACCTGACTTGGACCCGTTCATAGAACCTTCATTTCCCTCCTTGTCCCACTTTCTATATTGCGGTTGTGAATTGGAATAAGGTACAAACTACTCTACTTATATGAACTTACTTTTGAAACAAGGTTTTGTTGCCCGTGTGTTACAGTTAGAGATAAGTTTTTGATAGATCACAGCGCCTTAAGTATCTCATCGAAATAACTCCATGATTATTGCAATAGTCAAACTAGTTTGTGATATTCCTGACCACCGTTTGAGGAAACAGCAAAATTTGATTTCTACCTTCGGCATACGAAACTCCTACCTCACAAGACGGGAATCGTTTCGGACGGGCCTTGTCCAGAAGGGCGAAAATAACACTGAGAACTCCATTTTAGACTTAGGTAAATTAAACAATATCGTCCTCTTTTGGGCTTACCAAAGAGCAATTCCCTTTCTAAAATAAGATAATGGTGAAGCGTGACCTCGATGTCACCCTTCCGATAGCGGTAGCAACTCCGAAATTCAAGAGTTCTTCCTTTCTAGGTGTTTCTATGCCCGAGCGCTTTTATTCGAGGTAGCTTAAGACACGAAAACGCATTCTAATTGTTGAACCTATCTATAGAATCTTTAACCATGACAAATTCAGCTGAAACAGGCAGGAAATTATTCAGAAGGATGCCATTATTTCCTTGCAAATATCAGCATTTTTTAGTGTAATAGATAAAAATCCGAGCCCCAGATGGGACTTGAACCCACGACCCTCCGTGATCTAGTCGGATGCTCTAACCATTGAGCTACTGGAGACTCTATGGTGAGCAAGGGTCAATTTGTGGGCCTGAACTGGAACCGCATCGCGCGGCTACACAGCTAAGTATTGGTAAGCACCTGTGAAAACTCACTAACAGCATCACGCTGTCACATTAAGGCATATCAAGATGCGGCCAACCAACCTCCAAAGTGAGCATGTAAAGATGAAACAATTTTTAGTTTATATGTAATAAAAATTTCCTTCCTTGGTCTTTAAGCGATGCGTTTATCCTATTGGAAGGTCATCAGTTTATAACGGATAGTGCAAACTGAACTTGACCGTCCAGGGAATATACAGTCGTGAAACCATGACTACGCGCTCAAAAAGAAAAGAAACTCTCTCTAACGATGTGCTGGTTTGCTTGCGAGGATCAAATTCAGCAGCATGACAACAAACGGTATAAAAGGCCTCTTGCTGGAATATAAGGTTCAGTTGCTGAAGCCCTGACAACGGTAAAGTCTGTGGAGCACTAATCTTCTGAGCTCACGATAAGCGAGTCTAACTGACAATGGTAAGGCTACTTTGTGTGTTTTTTACGCAGATTAGTCACTCCTCCCTACGTCTCTTTTTTAACAGAATGATCAACTTGTTGTCGAACGGTTCGCAGGAGAATTTTCTAAGATTATATATTTTCTTATAGAATTTCCGTGGTGGACCATTTATCCTTCTTCTGTTAGCTGTGGTTTGCGCTGTTTTGGATGTTTCCTCGGGTCAAGGTAACTGCGATTGTAGCATGTGAATTCACTGTCTCTGCTAATTCTGTGTCTTTAACATTATAGTTCCTTTCCTGTGGCCTTGAAACTGTGATGTTCGTAAGTGCTCATACAAATTTATCCTGCTCGTCATGGTATCATTTCCTCTAACTGATATTTTTACTATGTCACGTAATTTATCTTCCAATAATTACGCAAAATTTGTTGTTCCATTTTTCTGTTGGTTGAGAGACTCTAAACTTTTGTTTGATTTTTCGGTTTGTTGAGTTTTTCCTTCGAATTTATTCATTGTTTATGTATTTTTCTTTGGTGTCTTTTTTTGTGTTTTTGATTTTTTCTTCTTAAATTGCAAATATAAACGCGATAGAATATAGCTCAATTGGTTAAAGCGCCGGATTGTGTTGTGCGGAAGGTCGAGGGTTCGAGCCCCGGCCGGACCAATACTCATGGTCTTAAAATAACTGAGGAGAATTTGCTACCTTTCTAAAACAAGAAATGGATAGATATTCCACTCTTCTCGGATAAGGACTAATCAACCGTAGGTCCCGTCTCCTGCAGGGTTAGGGGTAGGAGACGTTAATTTTCCACGTACGAGAATACTGCGTGGTTGATGTCCTCCCCTGGGGTGGGATGGGTGGGTGTTGGCCTTAAAAAAAGCCTAAAGAAGACTAAAAAAAGGGGAGTGGTAAATTAACCTATGTAACCTGTATATGTATGTAACCTGATTTTCAATTTTACAGCAGACGTAAATTTTCCTCGTGACAGGAAACTGATAAGAATGCGAGGTCAGTAAAAAGTAGCTATTTGTTCTTTCTCTCTTCAGTCAGCTGTAAATGTTTTGGAGTATATTTCACCGAGATTTGTTTTTGAAATCTCCACTAATCTTATCCGAGTCACACGTCACACATTTTGTGTACAGCAATCTGAAAAATAAAGTGTAAGTAGCTCTGTTTCTCATTCTATGAGGAGAATCTAGATATCGGGCAACTTATGCGCATTATATCTGACAGCCTGAAACGTCATTCAATAAGTGGTTTCCTGGTCTCAGTTCAGAAACAATATCATTTCCGTTTGACAATTCAAAGTATCGACCCATTGAAATTTCCCAAATTTGTTCAAGATGAAGTTTTTATCCCGGCCACAAAATCAAATAATCAACAAATTCTCTGTAAAGCCCTGACAGACAGCCTCTGTTGCTCTGTGGAAGGAATGAATATAGTTACAATAAAAATAGTGACGCTGACGGTAATATATCATTACAGAACTCTTCTTAGCTTGCAGAAGACGACGACCAAAGCGAGTGGGAGGTAAGTACAAAAGGATCATCTTTTCCGGGAATTCTAAGATTAGGGAGCTAAAAGGAGAAATAAGCTCCAAGAATTATTTTCCGCCAATGAAAAATATTTGTGAAATTATGATACTGACAGCGTTCTGAGGTTCCAAAGAATAACGAGACTTGAATGCTGCTAAGCAGCTTGGCCTTACCAACCCAGAATCAAACGAGAGGGGCCGTATGTATCTTGTTGTTCAAAAGGTTATATAGCTCCATGAAATCTCATAAGTGATATTTAGGAAGACTTTCTTCCGTCCATTTCTTTTTTTCGATGGCAGAGATAAAAACTCTAAAGTTTGCAGAGCACGTACATCTCCCGTGAGAATATGTAGTAGCCCTAAACTATTTGAAAAGTCACTCCGGATTCCACGATATATAGGTTCTAATTTGCTTCTTTAACTTTAAGCTCCCTCTATCTTTGTCTGGAGTGATTTTAAAGTGCCGCTCAAACTGTATTTCGTACCCACCCTGAATTCTCCATTTATGGTTAGTACTTATCTTGGCCTTAATCCGACCAGGGCTAATCAAGAAATCTTTCTTCAAATTTAGATAATACTTGCTTTGCCACCGTTGAAGACTGTATGCTTGCTCAAGGCTGAACATGTTTATTGAGGTAAACATCGGAATTTGTAACTTTTAAGTTACAATGTTAAATGTGAATGCTGAATGTTACAGTGTTTCTGTTAAAAGATTAGTTATAAAGCACTCGCAAGTGGCCTTAATGCATCACGTGATCTTTTATGCTCGAGCTAAAACTGGTGAATATCCGAGTTTAGTGTATACTGAAACAGTGAATAGCATTGAAGGCGCGCTCTGATTGGCTAGTCAAACTCCGAATATCCTTTGCTATTTACCTCCGAGCAACTCGGGGAAAAAATGGCGTCCCGGTTCGCATCCATGACAAGTGAAGAAATCACTCAAATTAACGACGAAGCAGTCCCTGAAAACGCAAAGAAAATTTCGGCTAGATTTGGTTTGGCCGTGTTTAAAGGTAATGGTTTAAGTTCCTAACCCGGAGTTTATCAATAAAAACCAATGATCGAGAAAGGTTTTGTTTACAAATGCAAATTAATCTTGCGTAACCTACATACATACACGTACATACATAGTTTATTTGTTAATGCAGGTTGGTAAAAGTCAGCCAATGGCAGATGTGGACCTGCCTATCTAAAACATTAAGGTCTAATTGCATTAACTAGGATAAATACAGGTTTTCAGCCAATCAAATTCGTGAATTCTGTAGTTCCCAGTCCTTGTGAGACACAGCCATATAATAACATGACACATTGCACAGAGCTGATGTATGTGTACAGTACAATGTATATTCTCCTGTCTCTTTCTTCTATCCTCCTCTTATTCAATTCACAAATAACTTTGACTCATGTACCAATCATGGACAAAATTGTTGAATCAATTACAGAANGTCAAGATTCTCCCATGGGGGGGGGGGAAACAAGTTCCCCAGACTAGCATACCATAAGTAACACCAGGGACAATGCTTCTAAAGTAAATGGCCTCCAGTACCTTCTTAGGAAGGACCCTCAATCGCTTTAGATATTTGACTTTTCGACTAGAGCTCTTACAGACAGCGGTGATCTGGGGCTGCCATGATAATTTAGAGTCAATTACTACCCCCAACCAGACACTTGAATTAACATTACTTGTGATCTTGCCTCCGAGTATAACTGGTTTCAGGGGGCCACAAAAGCTGTTTCTATTGAGTACCATGACCTCCGATTTCCCACTATGAATAGTTAACTTATT